TGCAATTTTACTAGAAAATTTTAATGTAATTGCAAGTAATGTTTCTTTTAATGCTCACTGTATTTGTATAACTAGTTAAAATTAAAGTGATCTTTTGCTTCAAAATATGACATACTGTAGCAACTCTCTATTAGATAAAGACCTATGCAATTACAGCTTGGAAATGGTGCTATCCAGGTGATAACTACACTTACATGATGCATCACAAGTTGTTTTGTAGACAGTAAATTGTTCCTTAAAGAGCAGAAGGCTCCTCTGCTCCATAATGTCTCATTTCCAGTTAACATTTCTGTCTGATTACGAGAACTACAGTATATAGCAGACAATTATATGATCAGATTACAATTATATTACAGATATGATAACACGCACTGCAGATTAACTTTCAGTGACTTTTATGCGACCTAAGTGTGTGACTAAGTATGGGCAAACTTGTTCTATGTCTACAGACGTTCCAAAGAACTCTGGATAATGTTTTTTGCCAATGTATGTTTCACACACTACAGATCTACAGAAAACCTGTCTTCAACAAACCAACTGCTTACCACAGAAATTGATAAATTTCTGACATATCACAAGATATTAAACCATGTCTTCACAGAAAGAATTAAATAAGATTTCCGCAAAATGAAATTCCAGTTTTACCAAGCAATCTGCAGCATGATGTACGATATTATAAATAAAACATTTCGGATTCAAATGAATCCTGTCATTAAATTAATTCTGTCATGATATACACCTATTAATCCCAACTCGGCTAATATGAATCCACACATCCCACTGAGCCATTGACTGTTTGTACAGTATACAGAAAATAACATGAAGGGAAATTGATAAGACAAACTGTATATTACAGCTTCATAGCATGTTTACAAAACTCAACTCATAAAAGGTAAAGTAGATGTTTTCTGGCAGATTCCTTAAGAATGTACTGTAAAATGGCTCCATTCTCAGATTTTAGAACCCTTACAAATATCCTTCTAATTTCACAAGATTCTGCACCTCTGAAAGCACATCAAAAGATCACTTGACAGAAAATGTGCATGTCTTATGGAGATTTATTCCACCTGGGTAGAACATGTCAGCACTGAAAAGGAACTTTGCCAGAAATTGCCCGTAATACATGAAAACACTGACCCTACAACAGTGTTCTGTGGTTTAGAAGCAACACTTAACACTAAAATAAACAATGTGATTCATTTATGACTTTACCAAGTAATCTTTTCTTCTAAAGAAATCAGGCCTTCTCAAGTCATTTTCACTCAGCCTTCAAAATCAAAACATGTTGTTTCAAAATTCACGCACTGTCAACAAAGCGACACTATCAAAGATTCAGACCTTCATGTTCCTTAAGGAACAAGAAAAGCATTAAGTTTTATGAAAGAGAAAATCCTTCAAGGTTTTTTTATAGACATTACTTTATTACAATAATTGACATTACTAATGTTGCAGTTTCTTTAAATTTAGATTCTGTATAGTTTGCTTTTCAAATTCTGAAGGACAGTTTTGCAAGATTTAGAAATCTGAAAATGCATCTCTCTCTGTAAGAGCACAGCGTGCTCAATGCCATTGACCCTGGGCTCCAGGCCCCATGCAGGTAATTGGAGTTTCTGACAAGGAGCCTCCTTCTTAATCTGTATGCACAGGTCAGAGGTCTGGAGTCCGACACATCAATGTAGATCATTTTGCAAGCCATTTTGCCGTGTTATTTTAGATGTTGTTTAACCTAAATTCCCAAATATGAAAAATACACTGAAAAAGCAGGGAAGCTCCAAATCAGTGCACACTGTGAAGATCCACAGTCGTGGGGTCTCTATAAATCAGAAGCCATCTGCTATACCGAAAGTCTGCTTGCAAAGCCTGATTCTTGTCTGCTTAGTCAATAAGCTGTGACTGCAAGAAAACAATTTGTGCAAGCATTTCACAACAAACAGACATCTCCACAAGTATTAATTAAAAAGTGCTTACCTTTTGTAGCACATTTACCCAGGGAAGAAGAATGCTATATCATGACTTATGATTCTGTTTTGACATTTCCTAGTTCTTGTGGAAACCAAAAAATTAGAAACTACAAGACTGCGCAACAGAACAAAAAACAGAATACATATAAAGTAACTCCAGTGTTAGTATGTCCATATTAGCTTCCAGTGAGACAGAGGATTCGTTTAAAAATCCTGTTGCATTCATTGAAAACACTAAATGTAATGGCTCCAGAGTACTTGTCAGAGTCGCTGTCTGGCTATTAACATCAGAGTGCTTTGATGCTGACTGACTGTGCCTTTCTCTGTTCTTACAGAGAACCCAAGAAGAGAAGGGGATGTTGATTTATGCTCGGGTCCTGTGGTTATGGCATTCCCTGCCAGATCATATTAAAAGTTGTTGTACAGCCACTGTAATCATTGAAATGACTGAACGTTTTCCTTTGGAGATGTGCAATAGTTGTCTTAAAGTTACAAAGTTATCTGATTTTGAGGTTCAGAGCTACGGAAGCACTTTTGTGCTAGTGAGTAAAGAAGCCACTTTTAAGCAGACGACATGCCACGCAGCTATTTAACAGTCGTGATGCAGCTGTCACTCAAAAAAGAAAACTATAGTATTGGAGGGATGTCTGTAGACATTTGACATGAAGAGAATCCATGTCAGCTGATCCCAGTTCTAATGCCCATTGGAGGCAACCTGGTGGGTTGAGGTCTCTGTGCTACTGACAGAGGTGGTAGGCAGAGCCATTAATTGCATAGTGCTTCCCAATAAGTTTAAGGTGGTTCGCAGTGGGACCATCCGTGCCTCCTGAAACCAGAGCAGGAGACCTGGCTGATAACAAGACTGGTCATTTTTTAATTTTAACTAAAGAAAAAAATAGGCATTACATAACACTGACTAGCCTATAGCAAGAAGTGCCACACTCTATTTGCCTATGCCCATACTTATGTTTACTTTTTTTTTTCTAATGGTGGCACCACAACCCTCAGTAGGACAGGTGGCTTTGCAATACTGGATGGATCAGTGGTGACACCAGAATTCTCCTCCCCCACCCGTGAAATATTCATCCAGCACACACGCCACCTGTCTCCCACACTTCATCTCCACTTATTCAGTTCATCCTGTAGATTTCATTTTCAACAAACAGCACATTTCTCCACAGCTGACAGAAAAGTGAACTGGAAAATATATTTGTCAGCTTGGTTACAATTCCTATTGAATTGATAAGACAGTCATTCCTGGAACTGTGTTTCTGGATTGAAGATCACACTCACGATTTTGTTTTTTTAAAAAGCATTTTTCTAACATCTCTCTCATTTATATTATGAGCTAATAGACAGATTAAGGAACCTGTGACAGCTGATAATGATTTTGACCATTTCCCCAATATAGAAAATCAAATTTTGTATTCTTGAAATTATAACTAAGGATCAAAGGAAATTTACAAGTGAATGGGTTTTCTACCACCAATTATCTGTCAATATTGGAATTGTTCTTTAGCGTTTTACTGTGGCCCATATGCAAAACCAATCATGAATAAAAGATTCTAGAATATTGTGGATTTTCTGTTTCATCTCAACATGAGTTGTGAGTAGCTACACAAACTGGGACCATCTGTTGTTTTTCTCTAGATGGATACATAACTTTTTAAGCCACACTCGTATAATTTAGGATTTCAGTATTGTATACTTGTCTAGGTTAAAATGGGAACTTTATGCGGTGTTTTCTAATTGCTCCATCGACAGGTTTGAAGGGATTCATTTGGCATTTGTTTCACAACAGTATGCAGGCATGTGATTCGTTGCAAATGTTCCTATTTCCCCCTTTTAAAGTTACATCTAGCACATAAACACAAGTCTAGTTCCCTGAGCTGTATTTGTACTAGCAAAAAAAATCTTTTGGCTGTACAACTCCAGGTCTGCAACATTCAATTATCTTTTATCAATCCCTTACCTCAGAATTTCAACAAGTAAATTAAACGCACTTCACAGTCAAAGCTTTTAGACTAAATGCATTCGCAACTAAGAATGAGTTACCGGGTCTCAAAATCATATGTACTGTATATCGTTAAAAAAAAACAATTCGAACGAGGGCACCTTATACTGCACTTGCTCTATCTAAAAATTACGCGATGGGAGGCCAGGACCACAGATCTTACTTAACCAATTATTGAAGAATCAAGATCATGCTACGAAAATGACTGGTTTGTAAAGAGGAAAAGGAGATCTTCCCACCTGATTAACCCTACGAATCATTTTGAATTAATGTGCAGTTGGATTACACCTACCCGAACATTGGTACTGTCTTTTTTCACTCACTGCAGAAGTGCACAATTAAACCCCGATCCCTTTATTACGTTTCTACAGGTTGCTACTGAAGTAAGCAAACTATGTTGATCTTTTCCCTATTCCTAATCACACATTAACCTGCTTCTAAATAAGCAAACTTGCAGATCCTCTACAATGATTTAGCGAGTGATAATCCTTAACAAAATGTCTATTTGACAGCGTTCCTTAATTCTTACTGTTTACATTTGTATGAAACGCCTCCGAAACTGTATGCAACTTCCTTGTGTACATTCATCTGAAAACGTGCCAGATGTCAGATCACGTGCGGCGTTTGTATTTTATTTTAAAAGTTTCTTGAGAAAAACATCTGCTGGTACCGCATTACATACGGTAGCGGGCTATCCCAACAAAAAGGATCAAGAGCAGAATAACTGTTATCTATTATTTCCCCATGTTGTCCTTGTAAACCTTTTCCGCAAACTTTTAAGATTTAAGAAAGTACAGATCGTAGTACTGATTTCCATTTATTCAGGGATTTTATTCTTGCACCTCTTTTTTGACCTTCAAATGATAACAGCAAAATAATACCTGAAGTTAACAGACCCATCTAAAATAATTTTAGTACTGTAAACAGTGGCAACGCAGTAAGACGTAGTGTGCCTTTCCTCTTCACTTCACAATATACTGTACATTAACACGAGTACACGTCCCACGCGGTTAATGAACACTTACATATCAGATGTTGCGGGCTGGTACGGTTGGCTACGGCACAGAAAAGAATGTCCACAAGCCTGGCCCATTTCTCATGGTGACTGTCAAAAGCCCGGTTCCGAAGCTGTTCAGGTTGAGCCGAGGGGTTGCAGGTTCAAGTCTTCCAAGGCAGACTCATCAACCGCTGACAGCGGCAGCGACTTGCGATTTCTTTATCTTCGCGAGTGAGCGGGGTGTGCGCTTCTCTTTCTCTCCTTTCCTCTTGGTTGTGGGAGTGGATTGGTAGTGATGCTGTCACAGATCCTAATGCAGCATCTCAGGCATGCGGACAGAGATACGAAGGATAGCTCCTTCCCTGCAGTCCTCAAGGGTCCTCGAGTTTCGCTAATCAGTGCTGAGCCTGCAATAATTGGAGCCGTATTTGCTGCTGCTGGTGGCAGGGTGTGTGTGTGTGGGGAGGGGGTTGATAACAGCTGTATGGTGAGGTTTTACTTCACATCTCAATAATCCACTGCCTTCTTCTGGTACAGCTGTTCGATTAGTATGGAAATCTCTGCATCTAGACGTCTATGCGCACGTATTTTTTCATGATTCGTTGCCGTTCGATAATACCATTAAGAGCATCAATTCAATTTGAAATGTAACAATTTAAAAATGCGCAAAGGTGATGTGCGCGCGTTTATCGGTGTTCAGGATCTACAGTACAATACCAGCGGCTTTAGACTTTTAAAAGCAGTAGTAGGTCCAGGCTGGGAAAAACGGACTTCCCGACTCAAGGCTATATTGAAAACGAAGTTATTAAAGGAAAATTGTTAATTGCACTTTTACAATTGTATTTGCATTATTATTCAAATTTTTCATTCTAAAAGGTTTTTATATCCATTGACCATTAAATTACATTAATACAGTACATACATTTCTAAAAAAAATCGAACGCATTAAACATCAGAAAAACACATTTACTAACATTTTCTTCAATTGGACGTACGTACCTACAGTACATTAACATAATAAAAATAAATGTATCACACAATTGTATTATAGTATTAGTCTAGAACAACTAAAAACGTCTGTTTGAACAAAATCAATAGTTTTAACTCTTATTGCAGTATCTTAACGACATTGCTATTTCAACTTCAACGTCTTTTTTTAACATTTCTACAACGAACTGAAATTGAAAATGTTTAGGTTTTCAAATATATGCTGCTATCCAATACCGAGGTCAGCATTTCAGCAACATTCATGAGTGCTATTGTATTTCTATTTGAATTGTTGAACTCTGGATTTCTAGTCCAACCCAGTCATTACTAATACCCAACACAAATGCTGCACTTTCCACACCTGAGAGCTATCAATGACAATTTCATTTGTCTGGGTGCAACTAAAGCTTATCTGGTTTAAAAAAATGTACAGTGTTAAATCTCAGCAACTGTTCTTCTCAGAGCTTACTATTTTTCTATCTTTAACTGTAAAGAAATGTTACCATTATTAGAATTAGCACAAACAAAAAATTCCTTGGCACAATTTACAAATGTACACCACTCAGGACCAACCCAGGGAAATGAAATATTGTATTTTGACAGATGCGGTACTTTAATGTGAAATGCTGTCTCATTCTATCCTTTGTGAATGTATTCTTTTTAAAGATAAATGAATTACTGCTAAAGATGTCATAGAATAGTGACTGTTAGATGCAACTGAAACTTTAAATAACTGAAGGAAACTCAGTTACAAATGGCAGCCACTGTAATTGACAACCCCATGATGTCATTTCTCAAAGCAGAACTTTGAACTGTTAAGATGACTGAGACAACAAAATATCATGTTTGTTAAATTGCTGTCCACAGTATGTGTTTACAATTTGTCCAGACTGTAGTGTTTAGAATAACTTAAATAACTGTTCTGGTTTGGCTGCTAACCAAGATGAAGCAGACAAAATTGTGAAAAAGCCTTTCCTCAGTGAAACTGACAATGGGGACATTTTTTTTGTTTAAATCTTAAACAAAATGCTTTTATAACATTTTAACATTTAGGTATGATTTTGCCTGTATTTAATTTGTCACTCAAATGATTAGTTGGGTTACCGAGTTAAAAAAAAATATCCTACAGTACATACAGTACAAGTGCCACTAATCATTTACAGTTCTCTACATTTCAGGAGTTGTTCTCTCCATCTGTTTATTTCAACTAGTCCTGTCTGAAGCAAAGGGAGTACTGGAATACAATTATTGCAGTATACAAAAATCAAACTGACATTTTAGTGCTCATTTTACCAATAATATCCAGGATATCTTTTGTATCTAAGTGGGTTATATGGATGTACCAAAATAATTAGAACTTATTGATCCCTTTAAGTCAGAGTTTGTTAGAATCACCATTGAATTAGAGGGCAATGCAACCCAGGTTCCTTGTATAGTTGGGGTCAAACCTTTCTTCAGAAGGCTGTGTACATTTCTAACGCATATGCCTCCAGATCAGAGTATCTTTGGACATTTACCAAAGCCTTTCTTTTCCCTACAGTGATGTCATGTCCAGCACCATACAGTATACTTTATATCAAGTGGAATTATTAATGTGGTGTCTTTGACCTAACACAGTGTGTGCATCACTGGTCACTAGACTTATTTTAAAATTTGTGCAAGATGTCTAAATACAAATGTTGTTAAGCACATCCCTTTGAAGTACATATACATCTTTGAGGTCCTAAATCCTAATTAAATAGTATGACATTTAACAGTAATGACATGGCCAGGCCTTTTGCTTCTAATCTTAGACATCACAGTGTAATTTCCTGGTGATTTCATTATTTTCAGTTCAAAGGAAGAAATATCTGTTGAGGTTACCTTTGACGTGTATTTGAAAGCATGAACCGCATGCAGTGTAGTGCTTTCATGCTAGTAAACCTATACCGAGATTCTGCATCGTCTGTACAAGGTAATATTCCATTCGGTTTTCAACAATTCTACCTTTCTTAAAAACAAAGCATAGTATTTGTAACTTAGCCGCAATTAAAATGAACCTCATTAACGTAATAATAATGATTCCTTACACTTGCATCACGCTTTTCTGAATACTCCACTCAAAACACTTTACAGGTCCCACATGGACGATGCTAGAGCAGCCATAGTGCACCAGTATGCTCACTATACATCAGCTATCAATGGGGAGGAGAACAGAGTAATGAGGCAATTATATAGATGGGGATTATTAGGAGGCCATAATTGGTAAAAATGGGAAATTTGGCCAGGATGCCAGGATAACACCCCTTCTCTTTTTGAGGAACACCATGGGATTTTTTAATTGCCACAAAGAGTCAGGACCTCGGTTTTACATCTCATCTGAAGGATATCACCTTTTTACTGCAGTGTCTCCGTCACTATACTGGGGCATTAGGACCCACGTACACTACAGGGTGAGCACCCCCTGCTGGTCCCACTCACACCACTTCCAGCAGCAACCTTAGTTTTCCCCATCGAGGTACTGGTCAGCCTTACACCTGCTTAGCTTCAGCTACCATTTGGAGACTTGCAGGGCGATATGGCTGCTGACTAACATATTTCAGAAGTAAGCTTCTTTAAGGAGATGTCTTTGAAAGTCAATTATGGGTTTATTTAAAAATTATAGCATTGTCGACATTTTAACAAATGTCCCAAAGTCAGAAAACCTCTGAACATTAGAATTTGAAATAAATCAGCCTTCGTTTATCCATTAATACATTTACAGCAGTAAAACAAGATATATCTTTCCTGAAAATTGTGAAAAGTATTTTAGATTATTTGTTAAAAAAGATGGTATTCAACTAAGAGCAGAAACTGCCTAGATTCCTGTTGTCTTTAATGGAACATCACTAAATATCAATGGGAGTTCACTGGTGCTGCTCTCTGTTGCTGTATCAGAAAAGCATTGCCATCTTTTCAACTTGGTTGTGCATTGGAAAATGTGTGTGAAAGTATTCTCTCAAAAGAAACCAGTGAAATATTTTTTCTGGATCTCCAAGACCTAAAAATGAAGAGGTTGACAAATCTTGATTACTGCCTGTATACCACAGCCATAACTGGTATAATTAAGAAAAAAAAACATATAGCTCTTTGATGTGACTTATACAAGATATTTAAAGAATAGTGTGAATTTAGAGGAAAAATAGTAAGAAGATTCCAAAGTTTTGAAAAAAAAGATTACAGACAATGTCAAAGTGTACTGAAAGATGTCAAAGTGTACTATTCCAAAGGTGTTTGTTTCAACATAACATAGTTATGCTTTGGACTTTAAAATTAAGTATATCTATGACATTTTGGCTTAAAAGTATTGCAGAAAACTAATATGTACTGTACATGCTAACCCCAATAAATGTCTTGCTATTCAAAAACTAAATTTGGATATACAATGTGTTTTATAAGCCTAAAGGCCTTTAAACATCTTTTTGCTTCACATCAATAAATGTATTCAGCTAGATTTCAGATTCTCTGCAACTGGCTCACACAGAGATAAACACCCACACTAGCCATCATATTCCTCTTTGCAAATAGTAATAAATGCCAAGAGTAAATGTGAGTTTGAGAATTTTGCTCTGGCACAGACTCAGTTCTTAGAGGCACAACTGAATTTACAGTATTTGCTTGGAGGCAGAGTGTATTTTTTTTTAAATAAAATATTTCTGTGCACATATCTATAGATGCAATAAATGCAAAGATGAATAATTCTGCTGAGGTTCAGAGGCATTAAGCAGGGATATTGCTTAAGTAACAAAAATAAAAATCTTATTTTCAGTAATACATTCAGCTTTCAGTGAAGGTAGGGTTTTGGAAGCATACAATAGGACATAATTAAAACACAGCCAAAAGGCAGAAGGCCATGATCTGTTCTTGGTCACGTGATGAATTTCATTTTAAAAAAATGAGGATAGAAATATTGGAAGCATAAACCACGTTTACGTACAATATGTGTATATACTGTGTGCATACAAAAGATGCATACAAGAGTATTAAAGCAATTTGTCAATTGTCAGTGACATGTAGGGATTTCACTACAGTACACATACCCTAGTTATAAGTTCAATTATCTCTCCAGTTAATGACTGCAACAGTGATGGAAACCAATTATGTGCCAGCAATTGAAAAGCATCAGTAATACAATACATTGGAAGGGTGTTTTTTTTTTAATTTCAAAGAGCTAACAGGACCAAAAATAAAGTTATCACAAACTTAGCCTCTGTCGTTTTATCATTCAGTTTGGGCAAGCTGTTCATGTTGTTTCAGTAAAGTTTATTTCAGTATTCATAGACATCTGCATGCCTTCTAATCCGACAACAGATGTGCTCCTGGTGGATCAAGCATCTCAGTACTTCCTTGGGCTGTCCACTCACCAACGTCATCCACAGAATGTCAGTCACTAAGTCAAAGCCCGAATATTAACTGCAATACTTAAAGTGCAACTGTGACTGCAAAAACTTATCTGCAACAAGAAGCTGTTCTTGTTCAGAAGAAAAGGCATTCACTCTAATGTTCTTTAATTGACGAGGCTGTATTGTATTTGCCCTTGG